CCACCCCGTGTGGCCCTGGCCAGCAGGGCCGGAGCCTGCGGGGAAGCAGCGAGCAGGTGAAGGGCTGAGTCCAGGCTCGGAGAGTCAGCTCAGGCTGGCCCCCCCCACCACCCCAGGGGTTCAGCCCGCTTGTCCACGTGCTGGGTGGGTGAGCTCACACTTCTCAGGGCACGGCGCCCCCAGCACGGCCCCTGGCACAGAGGCGCCACCCAGGGGTGGTGGCTCCCCTCCCCTCCAAGTGCCCCAGTGGCCTGAGGACCCTATGGGACCTGTTTCTGTGTCCCCGCTGCCCCCAGCTCCCTCCATTCCAGCCGCACTGTCTTCCCTGCTCTTTCCCCAGCTTGCCTCCGCGCCTCTGCGCCTGTGGGGTGAGCCCTCCGCCAAGATTTCTTTCCTTGAATGCCTGCAGGGCTCAGTCACTCCAAAATTCACTCACTCACTCCAAAGCTTTGCTGAAGCGTCACCTCCTCCATGAGGCCCCCGGGGACCCCTACTTACAACTGCAACATGCCCCCTGAGCCCCCCACCCCTGGCGCCCTGCACTCAGCTGCACTTCTTCTTCTTGCTTTTAACATAAGGTGTCATTTGCTTCTTAATTATGACTATTATTTAGTGTCTGTCTCCCCGCCCCCACCCCTGCCTTGAATGTCAGCGCGGCGGGGGGAGGACTTCTGTCTTGTCACACTTGAACCCCGGGGGGCGCACGGCCGGCCCGTGTCAGGACGTGTTCAGCCCGTGAATGGCGCTGGTGGGAGGCGGGAGCCATTTGTAATGGAAAACCAAGACAATTAATCCTGCCCATCAAGATTACACACTTCACGCATTCCGCACGCTCGCGTGCTGTGTGAGCAAGCCGACACGTGCTAATCAATTTACTGCAAAATAAAAGATAAACGCGCGCCGGCCTCGCTGCCGGAGAAGCGGGGTCAGCGGCGGCAACGGCCGGGGCGTGCAGCGGAAGGACCGCGAACGCAGCGGTGAAGGGGCGGCACCCGGGGCGCCCGGTCCACTTGCCTCTCCAAGGGCGCCCCGGTTCTCTGGGCTGCGCTGAGAGCGCCCCCACCCCACCCACCCCCGTCTGCAGCCCGCCTAATGGTTTTCTCTCCCTGTGGCTCTCCGGTCGGGAGGTGCCCGAAGCCTTAGATTCACACCGGCTTCAGTGTACTCGGTTACCTAGCAACAGCCGTAAATCAACAGAACGTGCTGGAACGGCACAGCAAAGATCCCCGGCTGCTGGACGCTTTGGGCTTTTTTATCCCAAACATGTTGGGGCGCCCCCAGGCATCACCTGCGGTGTCACCTGAGCGCTCGGGTTGGTGCAGCTCTAACCTACCTTAAGGCCTGACGGACTTTTCCGCACGAGCCTGTGGTTTCCCAGCAAGCCTTTCTTGCTGTCACTCCCCCCCCCTCCTCCTCCCCACACTCCTCCCTCCTCCCTCCTGGCTCTGGCTCCGGGCACCGCGGACTTCTCCCTTCAGGCCCCAAGGACAGCTCCCCGAGGGTGTCTCCGCCCCGCGCTTCCCGCAGACCCCCCCTCAGCCCGGGGTCTGTCTGTTAACACTGAACTGAAAAGCAAGGCGGCCGAGTAATGAGACTTATTCACTAATACGTGAGGTTGTCAGAGGCGAACAGGTTGCCCTGGCCGGTGTGGCTCAGCTGGTTGGAGTGTTGCCCAGTAACCAAAGGGTCACAGGTTCGATTCCCGGTCAGGGCACATGCCCAGGTCGGTGGTTGAGCCCCAGTCCAGGTGGCGCAGGAGGCCACCAATCGACGATGTTTCTCTCTCACATCAGTGTCTCTTCCTCTCCCTTCCCTTCTCTCTAAAAAGAAATTTAAAAGTCCTCTCGCAAGGATAAAAAATGTAATTGAACATGTTTATTGAGTGGTGCTTGTCCAGTGTTCGGTGCATGTGAGCGGATGATTTAATGAGTGAGCGAGCAGTCGAATCGGGGGGTGTTGTTCTCTGGAACATTTTCCAGCTCTCAGATGTCACCAAATTATACCAATTACAGCAAGCCTTTAAAAATCCTCCCATGGAGAGAAAAATTAATTCTTTAATTTGAAAAACTCCCCAAGACGCAATAAAGCACCGCGGTCCAGATCCTGAGCTTCGGCCCCCACACGGCCCTGCCGGGACCAGCGAGCACCGGGAAGTCGGGAGTCTGCGAGCCCGGCCCTCCCAGACCGGACCTGGGGGTGTGGTAAGACGACCTGTTCGTTTCAGAACTGAACTCGCTGCAGTGAAACCCACAGCGACTAGACCTTACAATTGTCGGTTACCACCCTTGTAGGCATGGTGTCATTGCACAGAACCCTGGGCCCGCGGACAACTCATCCCCAGCCTTTTCCTCATCGCTTGTCACTATCACCATTATCATCTCCACCAACATCATCTCCATCGCCATCAGCATCATCACCACCACCACCATCATCATCATCACCATCGTCATCACTAACATCACCATTATCATCTCCACCAACATCATCTCCATCACCATCAGCATCAGCATCACCATAATCACCATCATCACCACTATCACCATCATCACCACCAATATCACCATCATCACCATCATCACTATCATCAATACCATCACTATTATCATCTCCACCAACATCATCTCCATCACCATCAGCATCATCATCACCATCACCACCATCACCACCACCATCACCACCATCACCACCATCACCATCACCATCACCACCATCACCACCACCATCACCACCATCACCACCATCACCATCACCATCACCATCATCACCACCAATATCACCATCATCACCATCACCATCAACACCACCACCTCCACCATCATTATCACCATCACCATCATCATCTCCACCAACATCATCTCCCCCATCACCACCACCATCACCACCATCACCACCGCCGCCGCCATGACTACCATCACCAGCACAACTAGCCTTTATGAGGCACTTGCTCCACGTAAACCGCCGAAGTGGCAGGCACCCGACAGGGCCTGCCTCCTCAGGACAGTGCTGGCCTTGCCCCTGGCCCAAGGCTGTACAAAAACCTAATGGGTGCTAGGTGACGTGGACAGTCTACGACAGGCAGTGTGTGTCCTGTCACCACAGAGTGGCAGTCCCAACTCAGCCCTTCCTGGCCGTGTGACCTTCAGCAGGTTAGCCGAGCTCTCTGAGCCTCGGTGTCCTCGTGTGCACCCTGAGGATGCTGCGTGCACTTCACGGTGTGCTCTCAGGTAAACGGTACAAAATGCGCAGCGCCAGCCCGTGAAAACTCAGCCAGGGGCGGCAGCGAGCATCAGTGCCGCCCGTGAGTGCTGACGCTGAGCTCTGGGGTCAGACGGACTCGGGAAGAGCGGCCCGCAGGTGTGAGTGCCCACCACGCACCGAGCACGTCGGAGGGTGTCCCACCCAGGCCTCAGAAACCTGAGGAGCCAGCGCTTTCACTGACTCGCGGGCCAATGTCCAGAAACCGCGGGTCGGAGAAGGAAAACACTCAGCAGGTCGTCAGTGACGGGGCAGTTTTGAGGGGCCCGCTCTCACCCCCGAGGCCCGAACTCTGCACAGGCACACCCCCATTTTGGGCGCTGAGGAGTTGCTCTGGTCGGCCCCGCCTCCGTGACTGGCCAGCGCCTGGGTGTGCTGGGGAGACGGGCCGGCTTTCCCGGCTCTCTCCTCCCCGGCAGGGAGCGGCTGTCTGGGCGGAGGCCGGAGCGCAGTGGGGAGGGAGCCGCGCAGGTACGTGCGGAGGAGGCTTCCATGCAGGGAAACGGCGCGTGCAAAGGCCCTGCGTGGGGCCGGTGCTCGTGAGTTAGAGGAAAATCCAACAGGGCTGACGTGACTGAGGCAGAGGAAACGGGGGCTGGAGAAGGAGAGGCAGAGGGACAGGGAGCGAAGGGAGGGCTCCGGATTACTCTAAGGGGTCGAGAGCCCCCACCCCAGGGTGCTGGAGGGCTCTGGATAGTGCCCGCCAGGGCCCAGGGCGGAGCCCGCAGACTCAGCCCGACGCGGGGAGCTTCGTGTGAGGGGCCCGAAGCCGCTCTGGGGGACAAGGAGGGAGGGCCCACGGCTCCCCCCACTGGTCAAGGGAGGCCTCGAAACGTGACACTGAACACGCCGAGATTCCCCCCGCAGGCCCCAGGTCCCTGTCTCAAATGGGCTGTAAACACGAGACTGACGGTCCCCAGACCCTCGGCCGGACCGTTTCCAGCACGGCCCACCGAGGGCCACCTGGGTCCCTGGGGCGACAGACGGTGGACAGAAACACAAGAAAGTCCTGGTGTCTGTGCTCAGGACGCAGCCTGCCAGGGTCAAAGCTTCAGCCACAAGACGTGTCTCACAGACGCCCGTCCTCTCCCTGCCCCCCTGGTGCCTGTCCCCCCGTTCCCTGACCCCATCCCCTCTGTACTCGGCCCTGGGCCCGCGGCAGAAGGCCTTCAGTGTTCTCTGTCACAGTGCCATTGGCCTTTCCCGGGGGAAGGGTGGGGGACAGGGCAGGAGGGCGTGGCCTCCCGCTGTGTCTGTCCCGGACAGGAGGGAGGCCTGGGGCTGTGGGTGTCCAGCAGGGTGTCCCGCACTCGGGTCATCCTGCACTTGGCGGTCTGTCCGCAGCTCCCAGGCCAGCCCGAGGACCGGCTTTCCCATAGCCAAGAAGCCAGAAGCCAAGCCCCGCACCCCCTCAGACCGTGGAGGGCCCCTGCCCCCGAGGGTCCGCAGCGCCCGCACCCCACCTCACCAGTCACACAGCCGTGCGGCCCTGGGGCCTGCAGGCAGCTGCCCATGCAGCCTCTGTGGGCCTCCCACTCTGCCTGCCTTTTGTCAATGAACAGGGAGCTGCGGGGGTTGGGGGGAGGACATCCCCAGGCGATGGGAGAGGAGGGCCGGCACCAGAGGCCCAGGAGGAGAACCAGGTCCTTATGATGCGGTCTTTATTTCAAAAACTAAGAAGCCCCAGTCTGACCACCTCCCGTGATCGCCGACCCGACACAGCCGCTCTGCTGCCCCTCCTCGCCGCTCTCCCGGCCTGGGTCCGGCCCCTTCACCCGGGGGCCCCAGGCAGCCGTGCGCCCAGAGTCCGCTGCGGGCTCACTGCGTCCCGAAGTGAACGAAGAAGGTCCGGATTTCCTTCGGGTGGATGGTGACAGTGGGGCCCTCCTGGGGCGGGGGCCTGGAGCCGCCTGGGGTGGGGCAGAGGCGGTCAGTCCCGTCCTGCCCCCTGGAGCCCCCGCCTCCCCAGGACACCCCCCCACCGCCACCACCACACCTGCCTACAGCCTGTGGCTCCCCTGGTGATGCATTAGGTGACAGAGCCCCCTGCCCAGACTCCTGCTGCCAGTGGAGGGACCTCCCAGTGGGCCTCTTGCTGCCCTCCCCCTAGGGCCCACCTGAGGGGGAGGGACAGATAGCTGGAGGTGGACCCTGGTCCCGACTGGCCGCATTTCCCCTGCTGTGCGACACTCTCCCGGATCTCTCACCGAGGCCCCTGGGGCTGCCGTTTATCTATCTCACTGGCTCCTCCCCCCGAAGTCACGCCCTGGGGCTCAGGCTCGACCTGCCCACCCACCTCTCCTCCCTTCCGTCCACTCGCCCATTCACCCCCACGGCCTGGACGTCCACCTGAGCACCCGCCAGCGTGCCCAGTGCGGGGGACCAAGAGGAGGTGAGTGGGACAGAAATCACGGGGGCAGGCAGAGCAGAGGGGGCGCCCGGCCTTGGCCCTGGCCTTGGTGGAGGCTTGAGTGGGACTGGCCAGAGTGATGGGACAAGGGCATTGCGGGCAGGGGGACAGCGAGAGCGAAGGCTGGGAGGCACGAGGCGGCCTGTGTTCGGCCGGAGCCGGCAGGACCCGCACCAAGCGGGGCATGGCTGACTGCAAGCGCCCAAGGCGCACCTGCGAGCCCGGGCTCGCCCAGGGCACGGGCGGGGGCATGGGCCACGCACGCCTGTGTGGGAGCCCCAGCGGGCGGACGCCACCCCGAAGCCCCTCTCAGCCTCCTGCGGTGGGTCCAGGAGGGCTGCACCGTCGGAGAAGGCGGGTAGCCTGTCTAGGTCATGCAGCCCCCGGGGCCAGCGCCGGGAACCACGGGCAGCCAGGGCCTGAACCAGGGGCCCCCGAACCTCCGTCCTCCGTCTGCCATCTCCAGCGCTGCAGCGCGCTCACGTCCCAGGTCCCCGTGAGCGAGCGCTCCTCCACGGCCAGCACGGGGCCCAGCCCCCGCAGCACGGACTGCAGGGAGAGGAGGGCAGGTGGGCGGGGGGAGGGGCGAGCCACCAGGGTCCCGGTCGGAGCAGAGCAGGCCCCGCAGCAGGGGCAGCCACCCAGGGTCCAGCACACACCCCGTTTCATCCCCACAGGAAATGCTCTGGCTCAGGACGGGAGCCCCATTTCACAGGTGAGGAAACTGAGGCGGGAGGAGCGTGCTTCCCAGGTGCCCAGCTGGGTGTAGGTGCCCAGGAGCACATGGGCACTCAGAACCCCCCTCCAGTGTGGAGCCCCCATGCCCAGTGGGGGCCACAGCCGCCCCAGGAGGAAGCCAGTCATGGCTGTCCACCCCCCTTGCCCAGTAGCTCCGCCCGGACACCCCGTGCAGAGATGGGGCAGGTGGCCCGACCGGATGTCCAAAGACAGGCACAGTCTGCTGACCAGGAGGGCAGGGGGGCCAGGGGAGCAGCTCCCTGTGCTGATGGAGGTTGCGCACTCGCGTAGGGCCAGGCACCTGGGCTGCCGCCACCCCCAGCACTTTGGTCTTACGCCTGCTCGTGAGGCCTGAACCAGGGGGCGACCACAGGCCAGCAGCAGGAAGAGGAAGAGGCAGCTGGCTGAGGACAGCTGGGTGGGAGGACACAGGGGAGTGGGTCCCTGAAGACAGCATTAGGCAGCTGAACGTGGGCAGAGACAGCCCACCCGCGACACTGGCCGGCGCGAAAGCCCCGGGCCCGTTCCTCGGCCGGCAGCTGTCACTCACAGCCAGGCACGTTCCTAACCGAGGCCGCTCTGGCTGCCCTGACCGACACCGTCCACGTGGAGAAGCAGCCCGTGGTGTCCACCCACCCATCTGCCCTGCTAAGGGTCCCCGAGCCTCGCCTGTCCCACCAGAGCGGCACAGGGTGCCCAGCGTCCAGGCGCTGCCTCTGTCTCCCCCGCCCACACACTCACTCCAACCCGGGCATGCATGGTTCAGACCTGCGCTCAGCCTCTGAGGGCCCCCGGGGCGGAGCCAGGTGAGGAAGGGGCAGTCCCCTGACCCCTGACCCCCTTGGCCGTAAGCACCGAGAAAGGGGGTGCTCCAGAAGGCACCGCAGAGGAAGGCTCGGGGTGGCTCCTTAGGGCTCTCCAGGTTCCACGGAGGACCGGGGCGTCGGAGACGCCCACAGCAAGGTCGGGAGTAGGAGACAAAGGACAGCGCACAACCCCACGCGGAGTGCCGCTGGGGGAGGCCCCAGGCATCTCTCGGCACCCTCTGGGGAGGAGGGCGGTCTGGCGGGGCGCTGGTGTGGGGCACGGGGCGGGCCCGCTGGAGCCCATGCTGGGTCCTTTGTGAGCATGTCCTGATGCACCTCGGACACTTGCGAGTCAGGGCTGTCGCCCTTGGAATGTGCTTCCCCAGCTCAAGGTCCCCCCAGGAGACCGGACACAGTGGCCGGGCAGCGGGATGTGGGAGGGGCGGACTACCTTCAGGTCCACGGTCACCGGCTGAGACAGGGCATGGTGCTCACCCGCCTCGTACAGGTGGTGCAGCCGCAGCAGGACGCGGCGGAGGTCGGCCTCGGGCTGCCCTTGACGGCCTGGGACAGGAGCGGGCGGCGTGAGGACCCCGCGTGTACCCGGCACATCACACACGCACTCCATTTCACACCCTCACGCTCCCGGGGGCAGCGGACCGGGCCTCCCCCATTGGACAAGGACGCCCAGGCCCGGAGCCGGGGACACACACACAGCCGCTGCACCCGGGGGACGATCCCGCCCAGGCCCAGCGACTCTAAGGGGTGACTGACGCTGGCCTCTGGGGGCCTCAGTCCTCAGTCGCTGTTGTCGTTATGGCCTTGCCCTCCAGGCTTCCAGTCTCTGGAATATTCTCTCCTTCTCTGCCCCTGTCAAGTGCCGTGTGGCCACAGAACCCGGAGCCAGTGCAGAGCGAGCAGAGGTGACGCGTCACCTGCCAGTCACCAGGACCAAGGCAGCAGGTGGTACCCTGCAGCCTCCATCAGCAGGTCCCTGGTGACCACAGTGAGAAGGGGCTCCCTGCGGCCCTGCTGGGTGGGGGACGAGCATGTGTGTCTGCACAGACAGAGCTTGGGGCCCTTGGTCACGGCAGCAGAAGTTTATAAAATCTGTTCTACGTGGTCCTGGTAGGGCCCGGGCCATGTTCTGGGTCTGGCGAGGCTTCGGGCCCCTGGTCATGGTGGCAGTGGTGAGGGTGTTGGTGAGGGTGTTGGTGAGGACGGTGGTGAGGGTGTTGGTGAGGGTGTTGGTGAGTGCGGTGGTGAGGGCGGTGGTGAGGGTGTTGGTGAGTGCGGTGGTGAGGGCGGTGGTGAGGGCGGTGGTGAGGGCGGTGGTGAGGACAGTGGTGAGGGTGTTGGTGAGGGTGTTGGTGAGGGTGTTGGTGAGGACGGTGGTGAGGGCGGTGGTGAGGGTGACAGTCATCATCTTCTTCCTTTTCCTCTTCTTAATTGCACAGACTTACTCTGTGGGGCCCAGGTCCCGGGTGGAGCCCTGGGGACCCGAGAGTGGCTGTGGTGCAGTCAGCTCGGCCTTTGAGCTGCTCAGGTGCAAAGGGGCCGTAAGGCGCCACAGGACCAGCCAGGCCCTGGCCGGCGTCAGCCCCCTCTGATCACCGTCATCACTGCAGCGACACGACTGCTCCCCGCCAGACGGGGAGCTCGGTGGGCAGAGACCTTGCTCCCTTGGTCCCTGCCCCTCTCTGATTCCCAGCACAAGAGTCGCTTGTTTGGTGAATGAGCGGAAGTCGGGGACAGATGAGCGGAGCTCAGAGGGCGGGGGGTCAGCCGCTCAGGACCGCCGGAGGAGCCGGGGAGGCGGCAGTGCCCGAGTGCAGCCCTGGGGCCGGGCAGGGTGGGGACGGCGGTCTAGAGGTAGAGGTGGCTTAGGAAGGATCCACGGGAGGACCGTGCGGGCAGGTCCTCCGCTTGGGTCCAGGCCCACCTTGCCCCTGGCTACTCGACGCCTCTGTGGGCCTCAGTCTCCCCGTTTGGCAGGTAAAGGACCAGGTGGCCTTGCAGAGCCAACTGTGCGCAGGGGGCACAAGGGCGGGGTGAGCCCAGCCCTGGGCCACCCGCCTCACCTGTCTGGAGGCTCTGCAGGTGCTCCGTGTGGTTGGAGCTGTAGTTCCAGCCGGGGATGCTCAGGGTCTGCAGGTGAAGGCTGGGGGGCAGCGTCACGGCCTCCTGCTGATGGGGGGCTGAGCGATTGTGGCCAGTCTCTGCAAAGCAGACGGCTGGGTGAGGGAGAGGGTGTGGGGTCAGGCCCCTCCCCGCCCCCGTGGGAATCAGAGATCTCCACACCGTGGTCCCGTCACAGCCGACACCCCCCAGCCTCGCCACAGGCAGCCCACGCTGCAGGCCCAGACCCCCACCCAGGCTCCCGCCCTGGCCTTTGCTCCCCCAGGCCCTTCCCCCCAAAAGCCCCTCCTCCCACATGTCCAGCTGCTCAGAGGACGAGCCTAAGAGCTGGACGGACCCTGAATCTCATGTCCAGCCACTTTAAACTAAGACGGGGAGACTAAGGCCAGAGAGGTCGCTGCCTGTTCCAGATCAGATGAGGAGCTCACACAGGGCCCTGTTTCCCACGCGGGGTCTGGGGTGCCAGCCCCTCCCTCGTCTGGTCTCCTGTGCCCTCTCTGCTCAGAAGACCCCTCAGCCCCTCCTCCTCCTTCTAGGAAATGCTCCTCTCAACTCTGGGCTGCAGCTGGAGCTGCCACCTCCCCACAGGACCCCAGGCCGCAGTGATTGGTCCAGGCTTGGGTCACATGATCCCATCAGGACCAATCGGAACTTTCCCTGGGACTTTAGCCCTTGAGACCCAACGTCCAAGTCTCATTCCTCCGTGGGGAGAAGACCTGTGGTCCAGAGCTGCTCACAGCCACGTCCCGGGTAGGGGGTGGAGGGGGAAGAAGGTCACAGGCAGAGAGACGCACAGGTGGCAAAAGGAGGGAGGGGGACAGTCTCGTGAAGGCTCCGGCCTCCTGTCCCAGCTACACCTCTGCCTTTCCCTCAGCCACAGAGCCTCAGAATAAAGCCTCCAGTGGCTCGGACGTTCACGTGGGGTTTCTCTCACTTGCTCCAACAGAGACCAGACTGCGGCCCGCTGGACCGAGCCGCCCACGGCCGCCACGGAGCTCGCCCAGACACGGCCCGTCCCCCGTGTGGGAAAGACTGCCTTTGCCGGGAAGGACCACTGACCGACCCGACCCGGGAGCAGCCCTTGCCCCTGCTAGCCAATCAGAGCGTGCTCCTGGAACCCGCAGCATGGGAGCAGCATGGGACCCGGCGGGGGGCCGGCAGGTGCTCAGGGCAGTGCTGGGAGGGAGGTGGCACCCAGGCCAGAGCCACCCTGCCTGCCGCAGGCCCAGGCCACTGCCGGCTCCCCATCCATCCACGAGCCTCCCGGTCTCCGTACCCCCCGCTGCTCCTCCAGGGTCCTCTACTGCCGAACGAGAGGACTCGGGTGACGCTCTCAGTGTGGACCCATGACCTCACCTCAGCCTGCAGTGTCTCACTACCCTACAGGTCACCAGGTCACCAGGTCACCAGGCCCTCCCCGGCCCCGCTCCCTCCTGCCCTGCGGCCCGGACCTGCCTGGCCACGACTCCTCAGAGGACACCCGTGAGGACCGCCTGCCTCAGGAGGGGACTGGGCCCCACACTTCCACAGCCTGCCCCGCCCTACCCAGGGCCACCCCGGCCCAGCTGGCTCCCTCTGGGCACCCCGTACCGGTCAGCCTCCCGAGCAGCACCACTGGCCGGTGCTGCAGGGCCAGCGCGCTCCTCTGCTGCAGGCCGGCGGTCACTGGCCGGGGTCCCAGCAGGAGCCAGAGCACCGGGCGGGCGACCGAGTTGTCGTTCAGGGTGACTTTGTAGTCCAGGGACAGCTCCAGGTTGTTCTGCAGCCGGCGGTGGAGCATGACCTGCGGGGAAAAGGGCAGGGTGACGCCCCTGGCACCTGGGGGCCGGTAGGGGGGGGGGCGGGCCTCCTCCTACCTCCACCTGTCCCTTCCCCGGGCTGGAGACGCCGTGCGCCTGCTCCGACAGCAGCACCAGCCTGCTCCTGCCGTCCTCGATGTGGGCCGACTGCACCATGGGGTAGTAGTTCTGGGGGCGCAACATATCCGCGGGTGTCGGGCAAAGGGTGAGCCAGGGTCACCTCTGGCCACCCCAGCCGGCCGCCGGCTCAGGCACAGCCGCAGCTGGAGGCAGTGTGGGGAGGGGCTCTGAGTCCGGAGGCAGACAGACAGACAGAGGGGGACTCACGTCCAGCTCCCCCGCCCCCCCCCGCCACATGAGCCGGGGAACTGAGCCCACTCAGGCCCCCCTCTGTCCTTCTGTAAACGGGGCGCAGAGACGAGGTCTGGACACAGGTGCCAGGGGTGGGCGACACAGGCCCGACAGGGGCCCTCGGCCGACCGTGCTGGCTGTGGAAGGGCCCCACGGGCCAGGGCCCCCGGGGCAGGATGTCCTGGGGCTGACAGACTAATGACCAGGGATCGGGGCCCGCCCCAGAGGGTGAGGACCGGCAGACAGAGAGAGTGGGGAACAGAAACTCGGGGGAGGCCGAGCAGGTGGGGACACCGCGCTGTGATGGGCCCCCGAGGCAGGGAGGGAGGGAGGTCACGAAGGTGTATCGGGACGTACGAGGTGCCCAGCACCCCGCCTCACCTGGATTCTCCCAGGGGACCCACGGGGCTCTGGGGCGAGGAGGTACCCCCATTCCCAGGAGCAGAGAAGCTAAGTGAGCTGCCCAAGGTCACCCAGCCTGGGGCCAAAGGCTATGGGGCTGACCCTGGTGTCGGACTTTGGGCCCCGCTCCCTGTGACCCGCTGCCAGCAGTGTCCTGGGCAGAGAACACCAAACACAGGTCAGGTCCCGCTCGGCCCCGGCCAGGTGCCACCCCCCACCTCCGCAGAACGGCTCTCTGACAAGCCCCTCCTGGTACAGGAGAGAAAACCGAGGTGCAGACAGGCCCCTCAGGGACTTCCCTCAGCACACGGTGGCCCCGGGGTGCAGACGCCAGGCTGGCCGCAGCCTGGGTCTCCAGCCCCTAACGATAGCACGCGGGCCAGGCCCAGACAGGCTCTCCCCAGGGCCTCTGCGGCCCCGTGCCGGTGGGGAGGCGCCCTCAGGGCTGCACCGTGGGCACCGCGGGCGTACCCGGGAGATGGTGTTGTTGGCGTAGCGCCGGTAGGGCCTGCGCTGCGTCTGGTAGCCGTTGCTGTCCGAGTAGAGGACCTGCTGGGTGGGCAGGTCGGTGCTGGTCCGCAGCACGGCCTCGCGGTTCAGCTCCAGGGGGCCCACCCGGAGCTCCTGCTCGATGCGCTGGCACAGCAGGTCCCCGTCGTAGCCACGCGGCACGTGGGCCAGGCGGGAGTAGATGGTGTACGTGGGACTCTTGGCATTCGCCGTCCTGGAGGGAAAGCTCCCCATCGGTGAGCCACCTCCCAGAGCCTCTGGACGCCCTCCCCTCCCCCTGTCCTCCTGCCCTTTCTGGCTTTTCTCCCTCCCTCCCCGCCTGCACCCCTCCCCCTCCCTCTGCAGGCGGCAGGGCACCCGGGTGCCTTCCCAGGGACAGGATGAGAGGACCCCAGGGCTCCAGCCTGGCCTGACGGCCTCTGTCTGTGCTGTTCGTGGAGACACGGGCGGTCCCCTCCGTGTGTGCGTCCCTGGCCCCGCGGGATCCTGTCCCAGCACATGCATGGGACGGAACCGGGAGGCAATTCACCTCTTCATCCGACTTCCATCAGGCAATGACCACGTGCCCAGCACAAGCCCAGGAGCCAGGCATCTGAGCAAAGATGGGCCCTCCACACCCGCCCGCGTGCACCTACTGTGTGCCGGGCACAGCCCGCACGGAGGCCAGCGCACCTGTAAAAGTACTGCCGGATCTCGGTCACGAGAGTCCCATCTACGACCTCCATCCCCACCGCTTTCCACGCGGGGCTTGCGGGCTGCCCAGGCGCGAACACGTAGTTATCGGACACGGGGCCCAGGTTCGTGTCGCCGTTGACGTGGTACTCCAGGAACTCCTGGGTCACGCGCACCGTCCGGTTGCTCTGCCTGCCAGGCGGCAAAGAGAACGCCGTGTTGCTGTCGGGGACCGTGTCTCCCGGGTGTCACCCTCAGGAACCGGAACCAGCTGCCCCCCACCGCTCTGCGCGGTCACCAGCCGTGAACGGGGAGGGGAGTGACTGGCACGAAGGCTCCGTGAAGCTCAGGCACTTGGTTCAGAGAAAAGCCCTTCACACCCCGGCTGGTGCAGCTCTGTGGACGGAGCACCGGCCTGTGGACCAAAGGGTCGCCGGTTCCTTTCCCAGTCAGGGCACACGTGTGAGTTGTGGGCCAGGCCCCCAGTAGGGGGCGCGAGACAGGCAACCACACACTGAGAGGAGAGAAGGGTTTCTCTCCTTCTTCTCCCTCCCTTCCCCTCTCTCTAAAAGTAAATAAATAAAATCTTTTTTTAAAAAAGCCCTTCACACCCCATCCCGAGTCCCTCCCTGGCCCCGAGTGGATCACAGAGGAGGAGGGGACAGAGGCTGCGAGACAAGCCACAGGAGCACACGCACGGGGCTAACGCTGCCACGGAGGAAACTGCCCACGGAGACGGTGCGGGGTCACCCCTTCCAGCAGCCCCCTACGGTACAAGGCTGGGTTTTTTCACGCTGACTCCGAGCCGTCCGGAGGTCCCACGCCAGAGCCTTCACCCACTTCCCGTGGTCAAATACTCGTGACCCCAGGGGCAGGGATTACAAAGCCGTTTCTCCGCTGAGGCTCCCGCGGTGGGAGTGCGACATCGCCCAAGACCGCACGTGCAGGAGGCGCACAGCCAGGACTCAGGCCCCCTCCCACGCCACCACCTGCACCCACCCGGTCACTGGGGTCTGGGGGAGGGAGAGGCGGGCGCAGGGGAGGCCAGAGCTGTCGCCGCACATTTGGGCTGCGGACCTGTGTGGCCTGAGCCACCTGTTCCCACCAGCGTGTCGCCCCGCCGGGCAGCTGAAGGGGAAGAAACACCTCTACACCCACTGTGGGGCTGTCTTAGGGACAGTGCTGGGGACGGGAAGGAAGAGCAGGTGTCCAAGAAGCCCCCCTGAGCCCCTGGGATGGAGGGAAGAGAAGAGAATCCTTTCCGCCGGTCCGGCCTCCGAGGCCACTGCCACCTGCTCCCGGACCCCCACCCGGCTTCCTTCACAAACACTCCCCCAGAGGCATCCAGGACGTGATAGCCCCCACAGATCGGGAGATGGGCCGATGACACCTGACAAGGGACTTCCGTCTAGCAGAGGTGAAGGACTCCTACAAGGGAGGAATAAAGGGACAGCCCAGCTTTGACACGGACAAAGGACGCGCACCACAGATGTCTCACCAGGGAAGACACCCAGAGGGCCAGTGGGCGCAGCGAGAGACACTCAGCACCACGGTCCACGGGGAAATGCAAATCAAAAAACCACCTGGAGGCACCACTGCACACCCCGAGGACTGCTGTCATTGAGAAGACAGGCCACGACAAGTCCGGGTGACGAGGTGACCCCCACACACCGTGGTGGGGCTGGGGGACGGAGTGGTCGCTGTGGGAGACGGCCCGGCAGCCCCTCAGACGGTTGAACACAGAGTCGTTCTGTTTACCCGGGGGATGCCACACCGAGGGACCCGCCCGAGAGGAAGGAAAGCTGTGACCGCACGAAAGCACGCACGTGCGTTGCCATAGCAGCACTATTGCTCAGAGCCAAAGAGTGGGGATAACCCACAGGCCCATCAACTTCAGACTGGACCAACAAAGGCGGTATGTGGAAGCCGTGGAATATTACTGAGCCCTGAACAAGGAATGCCGTACTCCACACACGCGCACCGTGAACGGCCCCTGGAAATGCGACGCCCCGTGCCAGAAGCCAGTCGCCAAAGGACCACATGCGGCCTGTTTCCTTTTTACGAAATGTCCAAATCCGGAGAGACGGCCCATAGATTAGAGCTGCCGGGGCCCTCGGGGAGTGGGAAATGGGGTGCGTGTGTCTTATCTTCGGGGTGACGAGCACGTCCTGAAACTGAAGGTGGCGAAGCTCGCACAGCTCCACGAACATGCTCAAGTCCATCCACACGCACAGTTTAAAGGGGCGAGTTGTGCGGCACGGGACTCGCACCGACACAGCTGCCACCCAGGAGAACGGCAGCCCCGCACCCGAGGCTGCACGGGAGCCTGGGCGTGCGCACCCCGCTCCCACCCCGGGCCTCTGCACGGGCAGCTTCCTTCGGTGGAACAGCCGCACTGCGGCTGTGCCAGAGGATTCTCCGGCCCCTCATGGCCTCGGGCCCGACCTGGGGTCTCCCCCAACCCCAACGCCTCCCCTAAGCACCCCCACTCCCAGCTCCAATGGCTCCCCCGTCTCGATGATGCACCAGGAGCGGATTTTGCAGCTTAGCCCCGGTTAGAACTTCAGGGAGCCCCAGAAGGGACAGCCCTTTCCGAGTGCAGAGCGACTGAGAGACAGACGGGCTCAGGCAGAGGGACAGACAGACCTGGCTTACGTGCCGGGCATCCAGGGCTGGCAGAAGGGGGTGGTGAGCAGGAGGCAGCCCTCGCCAGGGCAGCCCAGATGGGGCACGGGGCCCCAGCGAAGGACCCCCAAGCCAGCGTCGGATGCCACCTTTTTCCACTGGATCGGGGAGCTCAGAACCTGTGGGGGGTGTGCCCCATTTCTGATGCTCCCCCACGCTGCCTGCTCTCAGCCCTCCCACCGGCCACAGGCTCTCGAGAAGGACCCCATTTGGAGGGACATCCCAGGGGAGACCCGAGGCTGAGCTCCGGGTGACACTCCCCTCACAGCCACGCCCCCTCCCTCTCCCCCTCCCCCTCACTTCCTCCGGGGGTCCTCCCAAACTGCCAGCTGGCGGTCCCCTCGGGAGCTGGAAGCGGGTGTTCTGGCACAGGCGGCTGGGCCAGAGTGGAAACCACTGGGGGTGTGGCCTGAGGGGGACAGGGTTGGCCCCTATGCCACCGGGGAGGCCCCCCCCGGGGTCAGCTGTCCTCTCTGCTGGGAAGAGATGGCCCCAGGTTGAGTGAAGGTCGGCACGGTGTGTGGATGGGTAGAAAGGTGGGCGGGCGGCCGAGGGCACGGACGGGCGGGGTGTGGATGACGGGCGGGGTGGATGGGAGACTGGAGGCGCGGGTGGGTGCGGAGCTGAGTGGGCGGGTGGTGGGCGACAGGTGGGGGGCAGCAGTGGGTGGACGAACGAATGCGTGGGGGGATGGGGAGTTGGGAATGCATGGCGGGCAAGTAGATCAGTGAATTTTGTGTTCCTCTAAGTTTTACAAAGTGAGTAAAATGAATGTTGTATTTGTTCCCTGGGGTGGGGGATCCTTTAACACCCCTTTTTCCTCAGAATCAATGGCTCTGGAATAAAAAAAATTCAAGACAGTCTTTCTTGCACTGGCCACAAAACTCACGCTCCTAGAAATAAAGACGGTAACAGGCAGAACGGCCTCCCCCGCCCCCGGGTTCTTCCCCAGGCAGGTGAGGAGGTAAGGCCGAGTGAGGGAAGGCCAGGCCGAGCCGCGGGCAATGCCTGCGCCTCAGAGCCGGCCATGGCTGCACCTCACCTCTCCCAGACGCTGTGCATCAGGTTGGTGTCCCGGTCGAGGAAGACGGTGTAGCACCCGTTGTGCACGGGCACCAGGCGCCTGCCCCGGGGCCTGGTGCGCCTCCTGGGCCTGCGCTCAAACGTGGAGGTGAAAGCCTGGGCGGCGCTGGCGGCCCCATCGCCCTCCCGGGCCTCCTCGGCGGGCCTGACGCTGTAGTGCCGGTAACTGAGGCCCGGGACCGTGGCCAGCACGTGCAGGTGGTATTTATGGGGCGCCTCCTTCATTCTCTGGACCTGCAGGGCCCGAGGTGCGGGACGTGACCGGTGTGCTGGGGCCGGAGGAGACCAGTCTCCTCTGTGAGGCCTCACCAGCCCCCCTCCCGGGCAGGGTGCTCACTGCCCCAGGGGCGGCAGGGTACCCCCGTCACTGCACTCAGCTGAGCTCCCCTCCTTGCGTCCGTCCTGCTCAACAGGACCCACCCCCCGCCTCGTCTCCCTCCCCCGCTCCCCTCCCTCTGGGCACCAGCGTTACCCACCGCCCTTCCTTCCCAACACGCCTGCCGTTCCCTGCCTCTGAGCCACTGCTCATGCTGTTCCCTCTACCTGGAAGGCCTTCTCTGGGAACGGGGCGACCTTATTTCCCAGTCCTCTGATTTTGCAGGAGGGGTGCTCTCAGGGTACCCCCCCGGCCTTTCTCACCCCCCCATTCTCTGATCCGGGGAGAAGAACACACACGGCACATTCAGCGACCCCCCTCGCTCTCTAGGGAGAGCACGCAGTCTCCGAGTCCCTGTGGGAGGCCTTTTGGGGAGCCCCGCGAGCGCACCCACGATTGCCGCACAGCCCCTCCCACCCGGGCTCCCCCCGAAACAGCAGCGGACATCTTGTGCCCCCACACCCTGCTCTGCCAGGGTCTTCCCCTGTCATCGGGACCACGGGCCCCGATGTTTCCTCATCTTGTCCGCTGCCTGTCCCTCCAGCCTGACGCCGACCCCCGAGGCAGGGACTCTGGCTAGCACAGCACCCCAGCGCCTGGCCCAAGGCCTGACACAGAGTGGGCGCCCCGGAACACCAGTAAGTGGTCCACTCTGAGCGGGGTCGCATCTGGCGGGAAGGGGCGTCACGTGCGGGGTCCGCACGAAGCAACGCCCTCCCCCGGCCCCTCCCCCGGCCCCTGCGGGGCGGAGGGACACCCCCTCCTCCGTCTCAGCTGAGGACGGTGCCCCGGCTGCCGGGCCGTTGCTCTATGCCCGACTCTCTCTTCGCCTCTGTGTCTGCCCCTCCCCCACAGTGGCCTGGCCAGCCCGGAGGACGAGCGTGTGCTGAACGGCTGACTGACAGCAGCTCCTCCTCCACCGCCCAGGGAGGGGCCGCGGGGTGTCAGGCCGGGTGCCCCAGGGGACCCGGTCCGGCTCCAGGCAGCGGAGGAGGCGAGCGGGGACCACACGTGCACACGGGGTGTGGGGGTGCTGGGGAGAAGCGGCATGGGCCTCCACCCCCACAGAGCACCCCATCAGGACGCCCGAAGGCCTGTCCCGGGAGGAGTAGAGAGTGGAAATTCACATTGGACTCGAAACAGTCCCCGGGGGAGGGGAGGCAAAGGGCCTCCCGGGCAGCGCACAGCACACCGGACGCCCCCCAGGGAGGGGTCAGCACCCGGGAGCAGCTGGCCGGGCCAGAGACCCGAGAGGCCCAGTGCCAGGCCCCCGGGTGGGTCCCACAGGTCCTCAGTGGACACCACCCCCTGACGTCCTCGGCGAGGGTGGGGTCGGGGGACGGTCCCGTCAGCTGGGAGCTCCCTTCCTGGGAGCGCCTGGCCCGAGCAGGGGTCCACGGCGGCAAAAGTCACGCCCCTACCTGTGCGGGCACGGAGCGGCCCGACTCATCCGTGACACTGACCCTGGAGAAGCCCACGGTCAGGCTGATGATGGTGGTGACCGTCCAGGCCAGGGGATTGTAGACCACCACGGAGCGGGCCTTGGTCGCCGGGCCTGCAACGGAGCACAGGCTCACGCGCTGTCATCGGCCCCTCAGCGCCGGGGAGAGAGGGGCAGCGGGCCCTGGCCCACGGAGCCCCCGGGGAACCCACGGAGAAGGCGGGGGGGTGGGGGGACCAGCCGGGCAGGCCGCTCCACACTGCCCCGCCCCGTCCCTGTTCCCAGGCGGGAAGGGAACAGCACCCCGCCCCCCCCGCCCCCGCCCGACAGCTGGGGTTCCCGGTGCTCCTCGCTCACCCGCCCCATCAGTGCACCCCACTGATGAGGGAACGGAGGCCGGAGAAGCAGCATCTCCCGCCCAGGGGGACCCTGCCCCTAAGGCCAGGCTCCCAGGCTTTGAGGGCCTGTCCTGAGCGATCGGAGAATTCTCTGGGGCCTGGAAGGTCGAGCCCAGCTGCCTAGCCCAGCTTCCGAGACCCCTGCAGTACGGACCTGAAACCCCTTCCTGTCCCACCCTGCGCCCTGTGCGCTGCGGTGAGCTCCGGCCACGCTCGCCGACCCCTGAACACAATGCAGGGCGTCCAGCCCCCGCCTCTGCCCTGGCTGCCATGGCGACGCTTCCCCGTCAGCTGTCTCCACCTACTCCTCGCTCGTGGTGCCACCCACATAAGCTCGTGGGAAGGGACTGCCACCCAGGCAGTACGGTCATGGCCCTGGTCCTAGCTCTCTCCACAGACGCCCCTCCCACCGACCCCACTCCCTGCGGGCAGGTGCTGTGTGTGCTGCCCTGTCCCCACGGGCCACCCGGGGTGTGGAGGTGGGACAGGGCCCTGCACAGACACAGAGGGGAGGGTGAGCAGTGGCACCGGAGGCGAGACATGCACGGTGACAGGGTGCAGGCTGAGGGTGGGCCTGGGGGCAGGGCGTGGGGCGCAGACTAGGGCACAGAAAGTCTCTCTGGGTCTGAAACCCCCTCGGGCCCCTCAGACAGCTGTGGCCATCCCCGCATCCACGTGAAATGCTCACAGTCACAGGCGTCACGCCGAGATGACGGGCACCCAAGCTGAGCTCGGGACACGCACCAGGAGCCAGGCTGAGACCAGGTCCCCAAGGACACCTGCTTCTTCCGCAACGCAGAGCAGCTCGGGACCAGGGGTTTGACCCCTTCCCGCCCGAGTGGCCCCCGGCAAGCCCACGGCCCCATGTCTGTCCGTGTCCTTAGCTCGAGCACGGGGCTGGCAGCAGTCCTGACCGGCGCACAGGCCACAGGGCACCAAGCCAACTGCCCCAGGGAGCGGGCCGGGCCCGTGCCCAGTGCCGCCTCGTGCGGGGTGAGCAAACCAAGGCTTAGGGAGCCGACGGCACCGGCCCACGGTCAGGCTGAGGGTCAGAGCGCGTGAAGCAAGTGACTCCTGAGTCTGGAGTGCAGGTGGTCCAGGCCCCCTCCCCGGACCGCCCTCCCCAGAGCCCCCGCCAGGCCCCAGGTCCCCACCCCGCCCTGCAGGGCCTCGCTTACCCACGTGGGCTTGCGTCCCGTCCAGGGCGATGGAGGACATCAGCTGCAGCACGCCCCGAATCCCCGCACGCAGGTGCTCCGCGAACATGTTGCTCACCTTGATGGCCTCAGTCCCGGTGACGGCATCGTGGTGCTGGACCTGCGGGCCCCCCAGACAAGGGAACAGTGGGGTCAGGGCTCGCCGCTGCGAAGCGCTCCCCAGGCACCTGGCCGGGCCCAGGCCGGCCACCCTTCTTCTCGGCAGGAGCAGGGAGGGGGCGGGTCCCTGTCCCTCCCACGTCACAGGGAGGAAACTGAGGCTCAGGGAAGCTGACCTTGCCCGTCGTTTTCTGACCTTGCGGAAACCCGCCACCTGAGTCCCCCACCTTGGGCAGACCACAGACTTCAGGAAGGGATCTGTCCTGGCTTCGCAGCCACGGTACCTCCCTCCCGGTGACACAGGAGCCACCGGGCTCCCCGGGAGCGGCCCGCTGTGCAGCAGAGGTGGGCCGGCGGGCTGCGTCTATTATTGCACTCCGCTGCCCTGCCGCCCCGCTGGGAGTGCTCGCGGCCCTCATGTCCAGGAAGGGAGGTGGGGCTCAGGGAGGGGATGCCCGTGCCTGAGCCCGCACTCGGGGCTGAGGCTGAATCCAGGCAGGACCCCGGACACAAGGCTGCTCCGCCTTGCCCTTTGCCCTCCAGGTCAGTGCGGGTCTAGAGTTTCCGGGGCCACCGGCCGATGCTGTCAGACGGTCCCCCGTCGCCCGGCCCCAGCCTCATCACCAAAGACGACCTCAGTGTCCTCATCTGGGAAGTGGCCCCCAGGGATCGGGGGCTGCATGCCGATGGCCTCGCACGGGAGGTTCCCGTCCCACTGCTGTCACCGGGAAGTGTGACGGTACCTCGGACACGGCCCAGCGGAGCTGCTGGAGCTGCTTCAGGGCCCAGGTGGGGTCCAGGGCCCGGCGGGGGGCCGGCCACATGTGGCGCGTGAACATGGACTCCCCGGCGTGCAGCAGGGCGCTGGCCCGCCTCGCCAGCCCCTTCAGCTGGCTGCGGGACGTGTAGAAGCCAGTCCAGGCCTTCAGAGAATCTGGGAGACCAGAGCCGGCGTGGGTGTGCGTTTCCTGCCCACGCTCCTGCCCATGCAGCTCCCCATGCCCAACCCCAGAGGAGCTGGGGCCAGAGAGGGCACAGCCAGCGTGGGTCACCCAGGAAGGCTTTGGGCGGGGGAGGGGGGGGGTCTGTAACCCAGGGCTCCTGCCCCAGCCAGGCCAGGAACTGCCCCTGAGTGCTGCAGGTCCTGGTGGGGACAAGACCACCCAGCAAGGACCAGGGATGACATGGTCACCGGTAACAGCTGCGTCTGCTGAGCCCCTGCCCTGCGCTGGACCCTAACCTATGAGCTTTCCTTGTTTCACTTTATTTCTACAAACCCACAGACTAAGGACCATTCATGTCCTCATTTCACTGAGACGCAACAGTTCCCTGAGTCGCTCGCAGCCAGGACGCAGGCTCAGCCCGAGACCATCACTCCCAACCCTCCACTGGGCTGTTCGTAGCCTCAGGGACACAGGTGTGCGGCACACAGGGTCCCCCGAGTGTGACCATGTACGAAGAGAAGGAAAGCTGGGGCCTGCGGACACGCAGAGGAGCCCCCTGGTGGAGCCCGCATGTCAGGGAAGGTCCTGCAGGAGGCGACGTCGCAAGGTCAGCGGAACTGATGCAGGCGGAGGAGAAGGCGGGAGGGGGCCCTTCCGGCCGGGAGCACCACCAGGGCACAGGCACGGAGGGAGGACCCCGCTGCGCGTGGCAATGCTGGGAGCCAGGCTTTGTGTGTGCGGCAGCTCAGATGCTCAGGTGGGACAGGCGGGTGGGGACAGGGCCAGCTCCCCAGACTGCAAGAGCAGGGCAGAGCAGACTCTGCAGTGAGGGCTCGCCCTCGCGCCAAACCACCACCCTCAGCCCCCAGAGGCCGGTACCTGAGGAGTAGGGCAGGAAGTCCTGGTGGTGGCGGACCTGCCAGGTGACGTTGTGAGCGTGCACCGCGCGGAAGTAGTCCCCCAGGGTGGCGTACTCCGCCGCGACTCCGAGCCTGGAGCTGTGTTTGTTGATGTGGCGCAGCAGGAGGTCCATGTTGGCGAACTGCAGCGTGGCGTTGAAAAACTGCCTGTCGCATCCCTGCAGGCGGGACGCAGGGGCCACGTCCTGTCACACCCTCCCACTCCCCACGGGGGCCACCACGTCCGCAGAGCAGCTCCCGCAGCCGAACCCCTGGGCGTCACCTTCTCCCGCTCCCCCTCTCTCCCGCCCGGACCACTTGCTCCTCTACCTCCTGCACTTGCTCATCTCCCACCTGGTGAGGGGGAGCGGGTGCCTCTGCCGCCATCAGCCCCCCGACAGCCACGGGCTGCTCAGTTTTTCTGTTGTGTGTGTGTGTGTGTGTGTGTGTGTGTGTGCGTGTGTGTGCACATTTCTATAAAATTCTCACCCAAGGACACTTTTTTTCACTGTTTTGAGAGAGACCGAGAGACAGAGAGAGAGAGAGAGAGAGGAAAGGAGAAAGAGAAACATCAATTGGTTGCCTCCTGCACATGCCCGGGCCGGGAATCAAACCCGCAACCCTTCTGGTTACGGGTCACTGCTCCAACCAACCGAGCCGCACCGGCTGGGGCTCTGTGTCTGCTGTGTTTTTAAATTTCACATGTAAGTGATATCACACAGTCTTTCTCCTTCTCTGGCTCATTTCGTTCCCTTGCATTTCTAAAAGCCATTTAGTGTTACTACTCACCAAGATCACTAATTATAATACTACGGTAACTACCAATACCGATGGTAACAGCCATGACTCACCTTTATTGACCTTAATATCACCTTCAGAAAGGCCGTCAAAGTCCAAATTGCTAGAAACACGCCACCTACCAAGACCAGGTAAGAAAAAACAGAAAATGTGCCCTGGCTGGCATAGTTCAGTGGACTGAGCGCAGGCTGCGAACCAAAGCATCGCAGGTTGGATTCCCAGTCAGGGCACATGCCTGAGTTGCAGGCCACGGCCGCCAGCAACCGCACATTGATGTTTCTCTCTCTCTCTTTCTCCCTCACTTCCCTCTCTAAAAAATAAATAAATAAAATCTTAAAAAAAAACAGAAAATGTGAACAGACATATTACTAGCAAAGAGACTGATCAGTAATCAAAAAGCTCTAAACAAACATAAGCCAGGACCAGAGCACTTCACTGGGTAATGCCATGAAATATTTAAAGAAGAATTAGTACCATCCTTCTAAACTCTTCCAAAAAACAAAACAGAACAGAAGAGGAGAGAACATTCCCAAACTCATGTATGAGGCCAGCCTCACCCTGATACCGAAATCAGACAGAGACGTCGCAAGAATAGAAAAGTACAGGTCAGTCTCCTGGGTGACCATAGATGCAGACATTCTCAACAAAATATTAGCAGACTGACTTCAAAAATGCATTAAAAAGATCACATGCCATGACCCAGTGGGGTTCATTCCAGGGATGCAAGGGCAGGTCACCATCCACCAATCGAATGACATGATACATCACGTTGACAAAACGAAGAATAAGAATCCTGCCATCAGGTCAATAGATGCAGAAAAAGCATTTGACAAAATTCAACATACATTTATGATATTTAAAAAAATCCCTCAACAAAGAAGGCACAGAGAGAATACACTTCCACACCACGAAGGCACCAGTGACGGCCCGCAGCCAACGCCGCACGCGACAGAGGGAAACCGAGAGCCCTTCCTCCAAGGTCCGCAGCCAGACGAGGGCGCCCGCCCTCACCGCTTTTATTTGGCGCAGTTTGGGAACCTCAGCCACAGCAATTAGGCAAGATAAAGAAACAGAAAGCATCCAAACTGGAAAGGAAGAAGTAGAACTGCTCTTATTTGCAAATGACAGGATACGGAGAGAACCCCAAAGAATCCACCCGAACTGTTGGAACAAATACACAGATGTAGTAAACTTTGCAGGATACAAAATCAATACACAAAAATCAGCAGCATTTCTACATGCTAATAAACTAGCAGAAAGAAAAGTTTGCCCTCGCTGCTGTGACTCAGTGGGTCGAGTGCCAGCCTGCAAGCCAGAGGGTCACTGGTTCAATTCCCAGTCAGGGCACATGCCTGGATTGCGGGCCAGGCCCCCAGTGGGGGGGCATGCAAGGGGCAACCACATATTGATGTTTCTCTCTCTCTCTTCTCCCTCCCTTCCCCCTCTCTAAAAATAAATAAATAAAATCTTCTTTTAAAAAAGAAAGAAAAACTTATAAGCAATCCCATTTACAATTGCATTAAAAAGGATAAAATGCCTAGCAATAAATTTTACCAAGAAGGTGAAAGACCTGTGCATTGAAACTACACAACACTAGCCCTGGCTGGCGTAGCTCAGTGGATTGAGCTTGGGCTGCGAACTAAAGTGTCGCGGGTTCGATTCCCAGTCAGGGTACATGCCTGGGTTGCAGGCCATGACCCCCAGCAACCACACATTGATGTTTCTCTCTCTCTCTCTCTCTCTCTCTCTTTCTCCCTCCCTTCCTTCTCTAAAAATAAATAAAGAAAATCTTAAAAAAAAAAAGAAACTACACAACACTAATGAAAAAAATTAAAGAAGACACAAATACATAGGTTGGAGGAATTATTACTGTTAAAATGTCCATATTACCCAAAGCAATCGACAGAGTCAATGCAATCCCTATTGATATTCAAATGGCATTTTTCACAGAAATAAAGCATCTGAAAATTTGTATGGAACCACACACACAAAAAAATCCAAACAGCAAAAGCAACATTGAGAAGGAAAAACAAAATTGCACATATCAAGTTGATCAAATTTTATTACAAAGCTATAGTACTCAAACAGTAAGATATTCGCATAAAAACAATCACATTGGTCAATGGAACAGAAAAGAAAGCATAGAAATAATCCTATTCATATCTGTTCAATTAATTTATGGCAAATTAGCCAAGCATCTACAATGGGGAAAAGGGCAGTCTCTTCAGTAAATGATGTTTGAAAAACCGGACACCCGTGAGAAAGAATGACACTGGACACGCCCTCACACCACACACAAAACCAGCCCCAAAGGATTAAAGACTTCCACGTAAGGCCTGAAACCACAAAACTGCTGGAAGAAAGCCCAACCAACCAGCTCTTTGCCATCAGTCTTGGTGGGGAGTTTTTGGCTTCGACACCACAAACACACACAACAAAGCGAAAATAAACACATGGGACTGTAATCAAGCCAAAAGCTTCTGCAGAGAAAAGGAGACCATCAAGATGAAAAGGCGTCCTATCAAATGGGAGAAAATATTTGAAAATCATGTATGTGATAAGGGCTTCATATGCAGAATATATAAAGAACTCAAACAACTCAACAGCAAAAACTCAAACAATCCAGTTTCAAAATGGGCCAAGGATCTGCGTAGACACCACCCCAAGGAGGACACACAGAGGGCCGGCAGGCTCAACACCACTCGTCATCAGAGCAACGCAGATCAAAACCACCGAACGTGTCGCCTCACGCCTGGGAGGGTGGCCGTCCCCGCAGAGACAAGAGACAGTGCGGGCGAGGACGTGGAGGAAAGGGGACCCCCCGGCACTGTCGGCGGGAGTGCAAATCGGTGCAGCCACTGTGGAGAGCTCCTCAAAACATTAAAAATAGAATTACTGTGTGATCCAGCAACTCCACTTCTGGGTATTTAGCCAAAGAAAGCAAAACATTAATTCTAAAAGATACATGCACCCATATTCACAGCGGCATTATTTACAATCAATAGCCAGTACAGGAAAGCGACCTAAGTGTCCGCCAATAGACGAATGAAGAATCGCAGTACACAGACTTCTGGCGAAGACGGAGGCGCAGGCAGACCCACTGGGCCTCCTCGCACCACCAAAGAAGGACAACAACAATTTAAAAACAAAAGACAACCAGCACTGCCAGAAAATCTCACTGTACGGAAGTCCGACGACCAAGGAGTTAAAGAGGATGCGTTCATCCAGCCCAGTAGGACGGGCGGAGATGGGCAGGTCATCATCACCCAGCCCTTAGTATACGAAATGTTAAAGGGATTTATCTAAGAAAAGGAAGAAGACCAAAACTATGAACAATAACATGACAGCAAACTCACAACTATCAACAAACAAACCTAAAAAAAAAACAAAAACAAACTAAGCAAACAACTAGAACAGGAATGGAATCACAGAAATGGAGGTCACATGGAGGGTTATCAGTGGGGAGGAGGGGGAGGGGGAGAACAGGAGAAAAGGTACAGGGAATAAGAAGCATAAACGGTAGGTACAAAATAGACAGGGGGAGGGTAAGAATAGTACAGGGAATGGAGAAGCCAAAGAACTTACATGTACGACCCATGGACAGGAACTAAGAAGGGAGAATGTGGGTGGGAGGGGGGTGCGGGGCAGGGGGGAATGTAGGGGGGAAATGGGACAACTGTAATAGCATAATCAATAAAATATATGAATAAAAATAAAATGAAAAATAAACGTGGGATATATATTTATGACCCTATGCACCCTTATGTTCATAGCAGCATTATTTACAATAACCGAAATCTAGACACAGCCTAGGTCCCCACTAGTAGTGAGTGGATAAGAAAGCTGTGGTGCAGTCACACGGTGGAATACTACTCGGCCGTAAAAAAGGAAACCTTACCCTCTGTGACAGCACGGACACACCTGGGGAACATCATGCTCAGTGGAATGAGCCAGTCGGAGAAAGACAAATACCGTATGCTCTCACTTACGTGTGGAATCCCATGAACAAACTAAACTGACAAACCAAACGGAAACAGAGGCCCGGACACAGGGAACGGACTGGTGGCTGTCAGAGGGGAGGGGGACGGGGGACTGAAGGAAAGAAGGGGAAGGGGTCAGCTAAAGATCACATGTGCATAACCCCCCCCACCCAGAGGATGGCAGAGGGGCGGGGTGGGGGCGGGGTGGAGGCGGGCAAAGGGTGGGAGGAAACGGGGACATCTGTAACAGTGTCAACAATAAAATAAAGAAAAACTAAAATAAAAATGGATGCCTCAAGTCTCATCTAAAGCTATATATACATAGTAATACATGGGCTGCATTCCAGGGGGAGGTGGGGGTGAGTCCAGGAGAGGGCCCCGGGGTGGGCGGGGGAGGAGGACCGCCCGCCCGCCGCGGGGGGGCTGAGGGCGGCAGCCCGGCCGGCGCCTGGATAGCCCGCAGAGACAGGCCCGGTGAGAGCGGGACCCGAGCCCAGAGTGGCCCCGTCCTGGGGCTGAGATGCGGCCACCGGGCTGGGACGCCGCTTACCCAGGGCCAGAGGACGTGCGGGGTCCGGAACCAGGCGGCCCGCAGCTTCGCCTCCTGCACCAGGGTCTCCGTGTACTTCCTGACGGTGTGCGCCGTGACGGGCTCGTCCATGTCCGAGAACAGCCCGTCCCTGGGCGGCTCCGGGAACCGGGCCTGACCTTCCCAGGAAAACCCTATCCTGCGGGGGAGAGAAGGGTTGAGGGCCCCCACCCCAGGACAGGACGCCTCCTGCAGTCCCAGGGGGCAGGCAGGGCTCAGCCAGACCACAGACCCTGCCGGCCCCGTCTTCTCCCCACCGCGCAGGGGGCGAGTCCGAGGTGGGCGAGTCCGAGGTGGGCAGGCCGAGGGGCTCCCACCCAGGCACCACGCTCACCAGCTGTGGGACCTCGGGCAGGTCACCTCCCCTGGGCTCACGTCACTTCAGCCCTCACGTGCAGCCCACCACCTCTGCGCCCCACGTCACCATGCGGGTCACGTGGAACTCATGAGGTCGCTCCGCTGAGGGCACCTCCGAGCCCTCCCGAACAGGGGCGAGGGCTGCGCCTGGGTGGGCACGTGAGCCGCTCGCCCTGGACACAACACGTAAGGGGCTGCCACAGGCCTCAGAGTCAGCATCAGAGAGGTTTGAGGCGATGTGTTAGAAAATCGAATAAATGCCAAAAGTCATGGCGAACAAAATCTCAAAGTGTTAACCAAAGACAGAGGAGCATCGGGGTCCCCCCGTGGCTTGGCCGGCCCGCGCTCAGGGCTGTCCCTGCTCGGGGGTGCGGCGAGGGTGGGAGCTGATCTGACGCGGGGACAGCGCTCACGAGCAGTAGCCGAACTGGTCCATGACGTGCGTGAAGATTTCCTGCTGCGCCGCCAGGGACCGGGACCCCCGCCACACGAACTGCAGCCCCTGCACACCGGGAGGGGACAGGGCTGAAGGCCGGCAGAGCAGCCGGTTCCACCCCCTGGGAGGGGACAGCATAAGGGCTGAAGGCCAGCAGAGCAGACACCGGGGGGTCTCTGACTGCCCTCCCCTTGGTCCCAGGCTGCCTCCCCCTGAAGATCCCACCTCACCCCCCAAAGCCACAGCAGGCTGTGGGCCTGCTCATTTACCCCGCCTCCTTCTCAGGGACGCCTGCAAGACAAGCTCTGCTTGAATGCCCCCAGACACAGGGAACTCATCACCTCTCACTAAGTGGGCAGCCTACGTTTTGTAGTTCAGACGGATAGAAAGTGTTCAGGGTTACAAGCAGGGATAAAATCCTGATTCTGTTAGCATCGCCCCTGGGACCCACACATGTGCCCTGACTCGCCTGTGACCGGATTCCAGGCCATGGAAACGGAGGGGAGCCACGCCCAGCTCACAGAGTTGCCCGTGGGTGCAACACGCTGGCACACGCGGGAAGTGTGCTCAGGGTCAGCGCGGTCCTCCTTGGGGCTCACAAGGGTCACCTGTCTCGCACACCTGCAGCCTGCCTGCTCTGCCCTCCTCCCTCTGGGCCGGCTCCCTCTGCTCTCTGGACTGTCGCTGCTGAGGGCACTCTGCACAGGACCCTGACCTGAGGGCAGGGGCTCCGGGGGACACGGAGAACCCGGTGGCGCGAGGGGGTGCCGGAAGGGGCGGCGCGGGCAGGCACGCCCCGCACTCACCCGCGCCTCCTGCATGGCCTCCTTCAGGTCGTAGTCGATCCGGCCGATGACGTGGGCGTTGAACCCCGCCAGGGCGAACAGGGTGGGCGTCGTGGCGGATGCGCCGAACGGGTCCACCTGCCAGGAGAACTGCGGCCGGACCCCAAACGTTTCGTAGAGAAAGCCGTGTCCCTCTGCGGAGACAGCGCCGCTGCCGAGCTGGGGGCAGGGAGGGCCCCCCACCTCCCAGGGCCCCGGGGGCCCTGCTTCCCGGCCAGCAGGGTCTCGGGCACTGGGCGACTAATGCAAGGGCCCATCTGAGACCGTCCCGCCACTCAAGTGTTCACTCGTGGCTTCCGAGCCGCCGCCACGGGCCACGGGCCCAGCTGCGGGAGGAGGGAGGAGGAGAGCAGGGGCACTGGGAACAGAGCTGCATGGGGCCCACGGCAGAGCTGGGGCCCTTCCTGTCCCGGAGGGGTGCCACCCACCCCACTCTTGCCATGTTCTAGGTCCGGCCTGCAGGGTTAGCCCTGGGGCGCTCAGGGCAGAGGGCACCGTGGGCTGAGGCCAGAGGCCAGGGCTGCTCCCGCTGTGGGTGCCCTGGGACAGGCCAGCCGGCTCCCCCCAAGTCACCCCACCCGGCCACACCCACCACTCTGGTTCTGGCCGGACCCTGAGCCGAGTGAGCCCTGGGGCCCCAGAGGGGAGTCAGACTCATGTGGCTGACGGAGGCCGCCTGTGGTTTCAGAGGGGAAAGAGGGAGGCGGCAAGGAGCTGTGGGGACCCAAACGAGGGTTCCTGGCAGATGAGACTCCTCAGCTGAGTCTGAACGGTGAGGAAAGTACCGCCACCGCCACAGGGACAGTGACGGTGCGGTGGGGACGGGGCGGGGGGAGAAGGTGGCGGGGGCAATGGTGGTGGTGGTGACAGCAGTGGTGATGGTGGTGATGTGGTGATGATGGTGATGGTGGTGATGATGGTGATGGTGGTGATGATGGTGATGGTGGTGATGGTGGTGATGATGATGGTGGTGATGATGGTGATGGTGGTGATGGTGGTGATGGTGAGAATGATGGTGGTGATGATGATGGTGGTGATGATGGTGGTGATGGTGGTGATGGTGGTGATGATGATGGTGGTGATGATGATGGTGGTGATGATGGTGATGGTGGTGATGGTGGTGATGATGGTGGTGGTGGTGATGATGGTGGTGATGATGGTGGTGGTGATGATGATGGTGGTGATGGTGATGATGATGGTGATGATGATGGTGGTGGTGATGATGATGGTGATGGCGGTGATGGTGGTGATGATGATGGTGGTGGTGATGATGATGGTGATGGCGGTGATGGTGGTGATGATGATGGTGGTGGTGATGATGATGGTGATGGAGGTGATGGTGGTGATGATGATGGTGGTGATGATGGTGGTGATGATGGTGATGGTGGTGATGATGGTGATGGTGATGATGGTGGTGATGGTGGTGACAGTGATGGTGATGATGATGGTGGTGATGATGGTGGTGACAGTGGTGGTGATGATGATGGTGGTGATGATGGTGGTGATGGTGAGAATGATGGCAGTGGTGGCGGTGATGGCCTTGAACATTTACTGAGTCTTCACTCGGGAACACTGCACTTCACTTACGTGGCCTCTCTGAATTACCACCAAACCCCTCTTAAGGAGGAGGACACCGAGGCGCCACGAGGGGACAGGCCTTGCCCCGTTCACAGGGCTGGGCTTGAGCGGAGCCCGGTCCAGCCCCCACTCGCGGCCCCCGCATGCAGTGGCAGCACGGGCGCGACTGCGGCACCCACCGGCCACTGTTCTTGGTGGCCGGTCTCTGGCTCCGGGGGAAGGTGAGGCCCAGAACCTGGATGCCGACACCAAGTCCCCGCCCAGATGGCAGCCCCAGAGGAGCCCTGGTGGTGGGGGACGGTGACCGAACCTGTGAGCTGTAGAATCTGGTCATCGAAGTGGGTCACAGCCTCATCGTGCATGACCTGGCCGCCGCTGACAAACTCCAGGCGTCCTTCGGCCAGAAGCTGGCGAACCTGGGCGCGGTGGGCGGACAGGAAAAGCCGGGTCACCACCCCAGAGTGGGGGAGGCCCTGCAGGGCTGTGCCCGCAGCGCCCCGAGGGGCCATCCCTGGAACTCCGCACTGGCATTCGCCCCACGAAAGCAGGACGCTGCCTGGGCTGCTCAGCCTCGTGGCTGCCTCCCACGGCCGCACTCGGCCCGTGGCGGCTACATGATCAACCTTTTCTGAATGTTTTACTTTTGAGAGAATTTCCAAGTGAGAGAAAATGTGCAAGAATTGTACAAAGAACTCCCGTGCATCCGTTCCCTGGAGTCTTCATGGCTGAACACTTCTCCTGTTTCCCGGACACTCCCGTCACTCTCTGCACCAGACAGGGTCTTGTACGCCGTCCGAGAGCTCGGGTCCGCACGTGCGAACATCTCAGTGCTTCGGTCAGTGTTGTGTAAGAACAAATGATTTGATTTGATTTGATTTCATTCTTTATTTACTTATTTTTAGAGGGAGGGGAAGGGAGGGGAGAAAGCGAGGGAGAGAGACATCGATGCGTGGTTGCCTGTCATGCGCCCCCTACTGGGGACCTGGCCTCCAACCACAGCATGTGCCCTGACTGGGAATCGAACTGGCGACTGTTCGGTTTGCAGGCCGGCATTCAGTCCACTGAGCCACACCAGCCAGGGCAGAACAGAATGATTTTAATCAGAGTGTAATGATCAAAATCGGGAAATTTCACATCATACACTGCTGTCTAATCCACAGACTTTAACCGCATTTCACCAGCAGCTCCTCAGCCCTTCCTTGCCCTTCATGGGACTGGCCGTTTGGAAGATTACAGGTAGTCCTTCAATGTGGATTTTTCTCACGATATGCTGAAAGTTGTTTATTTTTTGTTTTTGTTTTTGTTTTTTTCAAAAGACCTTCGTCTGATCCATGTTGTCCAATATGGTTCTCATATCTGTGAATGTTAGAACATCAGCCCTGGCTGGTGTGGCTCAGTGGATTCAGAGGACAGGCCTGGGAACCACAGGGTCGCCGGTTCAAGCCCAGCCAGGGCACAGGCCCGGGTTGCGGGCCAGGTCCCCAGTGCAGGGGCGCACATGAGTCAACCACACATCAATGTTTCCCTCTCTTTCTCCCTCCTTTTCCCTCTCTCTAAAAGTAAATAAATGAAACATTTAAAAAATAAAAGAGAATGTTCATTTAATAGTATTTAATAGTCCTTCTCTTTGTCCTTGAGGAACATTAAACACTATCGAATGAATGAATGGAAGCACAGAACACAGTGACAACCAGGGAACCGGGGCCATGGCGCCCCCTGTGCTGCGCCCCCTGTACTGCACGACTTACTTCCTTACCGAGGCACAGTGCCGGTACCGCACCCTCTCAACAAACACGGAGCCAGCCCCCACTGTGTGCTGCTGTAGGCGGCCGCCCACCGCCTACCAGGCCCTGTCCAGGCTGTGGGGACTCGGCCGTGAAGAAAGCAGACAAAAATCCCTGCTTCCAGCCAGCTGTGCCATCGAGATGCCCGTTCAGGGCTTTGCCAGGACCCCTCTCCCCAGGCATGGCGGTGGGGGTAGGAGACGGATGGCTGGGTTTGGGGGTGTCCATGGAAGGGAGTGCGGACCCCTCACTGGACACCTGGAGAAACATACTTTGTCAGACGTGTCTGGTTCGGAACCCTACGTGTCACGCGTAAGCCCTGCGACCCCAGGACAGTCCCCTGCCGTGCCTTCTCTGAACCTAGGCCATCTCTGTAAAGTGGGGTGGCTGTCCTCAGCACACAGGCTGTAGGCAGGGTTCGGCGAAGCAACGTGGAGAGTAGGAGCCCAGTGCCAGGCACGCACCCACCTCTCCCCCCACCCCTTAGCTTCAGACCCCCCAGGGGCGCCAGCGGCCTCCCTGCTCTGCGTGGGCAGCGCTGCCTCCTGGAGCGAGTCACTCGCCTCCCTGGAGTTCAGGGCAGGGGCTGTGCTGAAGGCAGGCTGGTGCCTGGGGGTGGATGTGTTTCTAGGACAGCCCCTCCGAGGAGGTGGGGGTCACTGCCACCCGCTGATGTGGGACTTGCAGTGCCAGAGTCCTGTCCCTGCCTGGGAGCACACCGGGAGGTGGCAGTAGCGGCAGGACCCGCCCTGCCGCCTCCCCGCAGAGAGGGAACTCCCTGACTCCCTGCAATGTGCGATTCCGACCTGTCAACCACAGGAACTGTGGCACCTGGCCAGTCACCAGGTCCCAGGCCCGTGGGGGTCGTGCAGACACAGAAACGAGGGAAAAGGGTGTGGGCTCGGGGCCACCCAGGGGGCGCCCGGCGCAGGGGCACAGCTGAGCCAGGCGGCGGGGTGCTGCACGCTCCCGCAAACAGCCTGAAACCCAGCGCCGTCACCGCCTACAGCCCGACCTTACGTACGTACATACGTACGCCCGACCCGACCCGATGGGGACGGGCGCGTGCCCCGCCCCTCTCCCTGCCCACCCCGCCCACGGAGCCAGTCACCTGCTGCTTCTGCGTCTCCGAGGCGACGCGGGCCCACCACAGCCGGAAGTACTCCTGCTCCGCCAGGACGAAGCGCCGGTGCTTCCCGCGGGTCAGCGCCTGCGCCACGGTGGTGTGCGTGCTGGCCGCGTAGGCCCGCATGTTCTCCTGGGGAGGGCCACCGTGGGGGGAGGTGCGGTGACCAGGTGACCCTGGGCCCTGCCTCTCCAGCGACACCTGCACCGGCCCACCCCTCTCCTCCCCGCGGCGTCCTGACCCTAGGGAGGCGGGGACGGAGAGGAGGACGGGGCTGCCCCTTGGAGAGAACGTGCTGTCCTGCGGAGAGGCGGGAGGACTCGGACCGTGACGCTCTCCAAGGGCAGTGTCCCGGAGCAAGCGGCATGCTCGCTGTCCCCGAGGGCGCCGTCGGGGACCGCACAGTCAAGCCCACCCTGGGGGCCTATGTGGGCTGACAGGACAGAGCAGGGTGTGTTGAGAGCTGCCGCTGAGAGGACCTGCCCCCCCAGGGTTGTCGCTGGGTCCCCTGCCTGCCTCCGCCAGGCAGTGGGGTGGGGGGAGCGGTGAGGGGGCTCTGGGGGATGAATGGAGCCCAGCCGCTTCCAACCTGATTTCCAGGTGCACGGTGCCCCCCAGCGGCTGGGCGAAAGGCGGCCAGGAGCCCTGGGCGGGCAGCCAGCAGGCTCCAGAGCTCATCCTGAGCGACCCTGGGCAAGGCCCCACCCTCTCTGGCCCTCAGTTTCCTCTTCTGTAACTGGCGGGGGGCGGTGACAAGCATGCTCCCGTCCCTTAAGCCATCTCCACCTGCAGGGGAGCCGTCACCCCCAGGGGTTCCCCGTGCCCAGGACCAGACCTAACACTCAGCACCAGTCCTCTCCCCGCCTCTCTCCCTCTCCCTCTCCCTCTCTCTCTCTCTCTCTCTCTCTCTGGCTACTCCCTTGCTAATGTCCTTTGCAGAGGTATCGATCCACAGCCACAGAGGGTCTTTGTTCACTGTCACGCATGTCCTCTCTCATTCCAAAGAAAAGTCTGAGGCAGCCATGAGGGCCATGAGGGTCAGCCCCTCCCCCCACCCCCACCCCCGCACCCCCCAGCCCCGCCGAAGAACCTAAGGAAACCAGGGACCTGCCCGCTTTTTCTTTGTGCCGATTCATCCGTTGATTCGACAAATAGTATGGCGCGTGGCCGCCGTCCACTAGGCACAGCGAGAAGGGCAGCGATACAACGGGTGAGCCCCGCCCCCCACTGGGGAGCTCCCCGCCCCCAGCGGGGAAAGCCGTCCATAGAGACAAGGCAGCAGGTGAAATGTGGGGGAGGGGCGGACCCCAGATGGACTCCCGCGAGGCCTCGGCGGAAGGCGACCTTGGAGGAACGAGCTGAAGGGAGTCGGGGGCTGAGCCGGGGGCTGCCTGGGAGGGACGCCTTCGGAGCAGAGGGAGAAGCCGGGCCCGCGCTGAGACCCATGGCACCCTGCAGGGGGGACTGGGGCCCAGAGGGGTCTCCCGGACAAGCACCCGCCGTGGCCTGATCTGGCCCACGCACTCTACACCTGTCCTCCACGCCTGCCACTTTCCCTGTCTCTGGTGGGGAAACTGAGGTTCACAGGCAGGAAGTGGTCCAGAGGCAACCCTGGAACCAGACCCTTCCTCGCTGGTGCAGACCCCCAACAGAAACCCACGGGGGATCCACCAGGGAGGCATGTTGGAGCACCCGGGGCCCAGGGGGAGTGGCGCCCGGCACCTACCTCGACCGTGTAGAGCCAGCCCACGTCCATGTGGCTGTGGGGCACCACGAAGACCCGGATGGGGTCCGCATGCTGGGCCCCCGACAGCCGCCACGCCACCAGCTGAGTGAACAGGGGCAGCCAGTGGAGCGGCCCCATCCAGGCACCTGGCAGGTGGTGGCAGGCGCAGGGACAGTTAGTCCACCAGTGGGCGGGCCCCGTGGGGGAGGGAGCAGGCAGAGGCCTGGGAGGCTCGATGCCCCCGGGGCTAGGCGTCACCCGAGCCCCGCAGGAGGGGGTGCTTGCCCAACGGCTGCCAACGATCCTGTCCCTGTGTCCAGGTTTCAGGCCAGTGCTGTCCACCTCGAAGCCAAACCCTACACACCGCCGCCCCCGGCAGCCAGGCAGACATCCCTCCGGCCAGGGAGGGCCCCTTCCTCGCCCCAGTGCCCACGCCCCTCCAGGGCTCTGTAGGCGTCCGCTCCGCACCCCTGGGCTGGGCTCCTGGACCTGGTTGGCCCTGCAAACTCAACTCAGTCCTCGGCTTGGAAGTGCCGCCCCCGGTACTGGCGAGGTGGCGAGACCTCGGCTCTCGCCCTCTTGAAGGACAGATTGGTCAAGAGACAGCATGCAGCAAGTCCAGTAAAAATGTGCTGGCCGTGCAAGACACGCTCCGAGGGGACTGGGCGGGCGCCCCGGGGGACAGCGTCTCAGCCAGTTTCAGAGCTCAGGGGCTCGTGGGCTCTGCACCCCGGCCTCCCCCACTCCCGTCCCCCTGCACGCCCACCCCCGTCACTCACCCGGCTGCGCCGTGACATGCGGCCCAGCAGCGTCCTGAGGCTGAGTCAGGGGCCTGGGGACCACACCTCCAGCGTGGCGAGGCCAGTCCCGGTTAAGATTTACCCGAGGCCCTGTGGACTTGCAGGCGTGCACGCGGGGACCTGGGCCCACTGGGGTCCTGTCCCCCACCACCACCACCAGGAAGCCCGCCCTGACCACTTCTCCCGCAGGGAGTCCCCCGTCCGGCCCCGGGAGCAGGGACTGGTAGCCCCACTTTAAGGAGGAACACTGGTCGTCAGAAGGACTTGCCCGAGGTCACACAGCCAATGCGGGAGCAAGACTGTCGAAAACACTCAGAACTAGGCCGGGGTCCCTGGATGGGGACCTTGGCAAAGCACTGAAGTTCTCTGACTCCAGGGGCACATCCAGAAATACGGGGCGGCGGCAGAGGAGCTATGGACTCAGTGACACAGAGCACTGAGGTGGCAGGCAGCGTCTGTGTCCCCAGCCCACCCTGGTGGACCGCCAAGGGCCCACTGGTGCAGCCCGGAGGGGCAAGAGTGTCATCAGGAGCCACCTCTGTGCCCCCATAGAGGGGACCCATACTGGGGGTACATTGCCTGAGACCCGAGGGGCCAGCCTCTCGGGCTGCACTTCCCGGCACCGCCAGGGTGGGACCCGCCCTCCCGCAGCAGTCACCCACCCCGCCACCCTGGCAGCGAGCACACGGGGAGACCGCCACCTGCGAGCAAGTCCGGGTCCTCCCGGCTCCACCCGTCAGACCCTCCCTGGGTGCAGACAAGGAAAGTGTCCCCCACCACCTGTGTCCTCATGACCCTCCAGGACACACGGCCAGACCCATCTCCCGCCGCCCTCCCTCATGGCGGCCATGTGCCTGGTTTCAGCCCCAGGACGTGGGGCAGCGCTCCCCCTCCAGGCTGGCCAAATAGGGGGCCCTCTGAGGATGGCCAGGAGCCCAGAGCCACTGACGGAGGCCCCTGTGGACCCTGCCCGCAAACAGGGACCTGAGGGACCAACAACGGGCGTGGTGTAGAGCCGCCGTGTCTCTCTGGTGAGCCTGTCCCCATTCTGTTTCCCGAGATGGCCACACAACATCCCCCACTCAGGGAGCGTGTCACAGGCCACGACCTTGACCTCCTCCCGTTGATAAACGGGGTCTGTGCATCCTCCCGCTGCAGCCGGGTGGGCTGTGACGCTCGTGTAACCCACAGAGTGTGGGGAAGTGGTCCCGCCTGGTGAGCGGGGCGTCCTCCGGGGCATGCCCACCCCCACCACAGCCCACGCCCACATCTCTGGATCTGTGGACACCTTCGTCCTCCCTCTGCCCAGGGTGGCCCGGCACCCCTCCGTCACTCGGTGTGCCAACGTTCTCCCGGCGTTCGGGGCCATCCCCGCAGCATGCTGGCACTGCCTCCTGGGGCCAAGTCCTTCGTGATGTGGCCACAGTCTGCTTGGGCCACCGGCAGACACACCACGGACTGGGGGCTTCCACAGGAGACGTGCGTTTTTTCCTGTTGGGAGGCCGGAAGGGCCCCGGGTGGGGCACGTCTCGGCAGGGTCTGTGGCAACCACAGAGGCTCTCTGTCCCTTCCCCAGGAGTGGCCTTTCACTGCGGGGACAGTGCTCCCTAGGACAGGTCTGGTGTGACAGCCTGAAGAGCATTCTGCGACCCTGGTCTGAGCAGCCGACTGTCCACTCCAGGCCAGCACGCACCGGGGTCTCTCCACACGGTGCTGGTGGCCCCCACACGGAGCCCCCTGCCCTGTGCCTCAGGCGTGGGCACGCCCCTGGGACCTCTCTCGAGCGGGCCGTGGCTGCGGGGGAAGGGTGCAAAGCATGACCTGTTCTGCATGATCTCGAGGAAGGAACAGCCTGGCCGTTGCTTGAATGCGTGTGTGGGAGTTTGCAGGGCCGGCACGCTGGCACCGCTGCCTGTGCGTCCTTGTGACGCTGCGTCCTCCGCCCTCTGGAGCCAGTGGGGCCGGCCTGGGGGCTCACGCCTGCTGCGATGGGCAAACTGCCCAGGCCTGCACCCACGCCCAGGCCCTCGGGCCAGCAGCAGGGACCCCAGCACCCCTTTGCTCCGACCTGCCACTGCTCCCAGGGTCTGCCCACCGGAAGCCAGACCCTCAGTTGTGTCTCAGGCCTTCGGGGTCTGGCCCTTGATCTGGCACTTCCAGAAAACAAGTCCCGGTTGAGGTCCTTTGTTACGGCGGCCCTGGAAACCAGCACGCTGACGGCCCTGTGGCGGCAGCGTGCCGCTCCCAATAACGGGGTCGCTGGGAGGTACCCGACCCCCGGCCCCTCGCCAGGGCAAGTCTGCTCTCCAGGGCGTGAGGCAGCAGGGCCCCCAGGGTCGCCGGGGTAGAGGCAGCTGTGGGCCTGTGTGAATGATGCAGAACAACTTACCCTAACTGTGCAACCGGAACACTCACTAGTATAGGCCAGAGTCTCCCTCCCCTTCTCTCTGTGCCGTTTCTTAGTCCTTAATGAACCTCTCCGAGGACCACTGACCCCAGAGGGACGCAGAGGCCCCTCGTGAGTGACCACACAAGGGACGAGGGTGCAGCGGGAAAGCACCGCGAGGGTGTTCCGAGTGCCAGGCTGGGATGGGCCTGCAAGAAGGGACCACCATTGGGCTTAGAAAATACACTTGACACGTCTTAGGGGAAAACAACGCAACTTCCAGAGCACCTTTGTACGAGGGCCCTAGGGCCGCCATAGCCAAGTGCCACACACTGGGGGCTTCAGCCACAGGAGTGGGTTGTCCCGCAGGTCCAGAGGCCCGGTACCCAAAATCCAGGTGCCCGAGGGCTCCCGGGGAGGATTCTGTCTTCAGTTCCAGCTCGTGGCGGCCCCGGCCACCCCTGGTTTCCTCTCTCTGTCCCATCTGTTGCTGCCTCCACCTGCACAGAGCCGCCTTGCCTCGTCTCTTCTCACGAGAACACCAGTCACCACGGAGGAGCGGGACCCCCCCACCGACTCCAGCACAGCCTCGTCTACCTCAATCACTTCCGCAAAGACCCCACGGCCAGAGGAGGTCCCGTTCCCAGGTCCTGGGGGTGGAGACCCCTGCGTGTCTCCGGGGGCCACAGTTCCACTCGCTACGACCCGAGAGAGCACAGCTTGTGTCTCCGTGCATGGCCACGTGTGGATGGATTTCCAGGCACCAAACGTTCGGGGAAATCTCCGCAGAGCGCCTGAGCCCTGCTTTTTCAGGAGCAGGTGGGACTGACGGACTTTGGTCATAGAGCAGGTGGTGGTGTCGTGCATGACAGCTGCAGTTTGTGACCCAAAGACCCATCCACAGCAGCCTGGATGAGCAAGGGGACAGTGGGTCTCCAAGTTGGGCCCCAAAAGACCAGTCGTCCAAGCACCCCTTGGGAAGCTGTTAGAAATTCAGGTTAGCCCATCATAGACGAGTGGATAGCCCGGTCAGCATGGCTCAGTTGGCTGAGCACCATCCTGCAAAAGGGGAGGTTGCTGGTTTGATTCCCAGCCAGGGCACATGACTGGTTCGGTCCCCAGTTGGGGTGCATGCAGAAGACGGCCAGTGGATGTTTCTCCCCCTCTTTCTCCATCTCTTTCTCTGTCCCTTCCACTCTCTCCAAAATCAAAAATAAAGACAAATTTTTCTTAAATACAGATGATCAGGCCCTACCCCAGACCGAATGAACTGGCCACTGGGGAGGCGTCCAGCAGTGTGTTGTACCCGCACCCAGGCTCCCAGGTGGTCCAGTGCGGGCCGCAGGCAGGAGCCCCGCCCAGAGCAGTAGAGGCCGCAGCCATGCCCAGCGCGTTAGCGTGTTAGCGCGGGCGGAGGTGCGTGCAGAGGGATGATGAGGGCTCCGTTTACCCGGGGTTCCAAACGGGGAAAGCATACCAGCTACTCAGGGTCGTATTCGCAGCTCCTCACACGATCAAGAAAAGCAAGGAAACCGGCAACCAGAGGCCGCAAGGGGGCCACGTGGAGGGGGGAGAGGCAGGACGGGGTCGGGAAGAGACGCGGCGCAGTTCCCGGGGGTGTCGGCGTGGCTTCATTCCCGGGCCTGGCGGATGGTTACGTGTGCGTTTCCTTTAATGCCGTGTATCATTGTAGTTCCATATATTATATATATTATAAACTGCAGACTTCCTATATATCACATATGACCTATTCCCTGTGTAACTATGTTACATAGATGACATATCTATACATATACTATTTTCACAGACAATATTAAAAATGTTAAAAAGTATACAAAACGTGAAAATGATACAGGTGAAAGCGAAACCAGAAAGAACGACTCCAAGGTCACACCCAACCCGCAAAGGCGCCCCGGCCGGAACCCGGCCCGCGCAGACCGGACCGAGCCGGC